ATAATACTCAAAAAGTAAATAAATAAATAAATAAATAAAAAAAATACTGTTTAAAATAAAGGAGAGCCCAAATAGTAGGCAACAGTCAAAAAGTATCATTCCCTTAAGAATGAATATATAACAATCCTAGATGTGACAGACTGCTGGAAAGATAGGAAAACTGTGTTCAGAAAGAATCAGAATTCCCTTCTGTGATAATGTGAACACTGCAGAGCTAATCACATTACTGCTCCCCCAGAAGATTGAAACGTTTGGGGGTTGGTGATGGGAGGAGAAAGTTTTATTTTCTCCAGCCTTTACAACAAAAATTTTGAAGTTAGACATGTGTAAATGACATAAGCATGAAATACCTGAATATGCCACAATATGTTCTGTACTGAACAAAAAGTCTATCAGATTTTAAACCTCATTATTACCTATGTTACAACAAGACATTTTCTCAGTTCTCAGAGAGCTTGGTACTTAAAAAGATGCCATAAGTGATGGGGAGTGAACTGATTAGGTTGCCATAGAAAAGCCTACCACCACCAACCCTCCCAAAGACTCAACAGCATCTGGGAAGTGTGAAATTCTTCACTTTTAAATACAGTGAACTAACACTATGAGATAAAACTTCCACAGTGGTAAAAAAATCAGAGAATAACAACATGTAAAGGAAAGAAAACAGAATCTCTTTAAAGCCTTTATTTCTTTTTCTTTTTTAAAATTTATTTATTAAAGGTTTAGTCACAAAGATGAAAAATGGCTAAAAAGTTTAGCTCTTTACAACAGCAACCAGAGTTATGCTCAGAGGATTTAGCAGGTCCCAGGAGATCCTGCAACAAACATCCATATGTCCTGTAAGATTAATACAACAATAACAACAAAGTATTTGCTAACACAAGAAATGTTTACACTGTAATTAAGTTGTAAAATTATATTTATTTCTCCATCAAGCTGCTGACTTTGCTTCTAAACAAATGATCTGTTTTCTGTAGGAGTTACTGATCTTGTGACAATGTTATGTGTAAAACCCAAATGTCCTAAACGTACTATATTTATTTTCCAATGACCAGGCATATTTTTTAGACTTGCTTATTTTTTTAAACTTTCTACCTACATAGAATTTTTCTTCTAAAGCACTTTCATTTGACACAAAGATTACACATGGAAAGACTGGATGAAGAGAGTTAGTTCTGCTGTGCCACTTGCTCAGAAAAACATAAATCAAACTGAAAGTTTAATCTAAATTCTGGTATTCCCACTGACTAATTGAACATTGCAATCAACATTTTTTCCTAGAACATATTTATTAGTAAAACCATATTTATTATTAAATATTGACATATCTGCTTTGAACTAAGTACCATTATTTAATCAGATTTGTGTAATACTTTTAAGTTTGCAATATTGGCAAGATTGATCTTAAAAGTTCCAGCACATTGCTGTGTAGATTAGAACTTCTAAGATTAGTTTCTGACAACCTCTAACAGAAAAAAAAAACCAGAAAACTAAACAGATGAGACAAAGTAAAGGGCACCAGCAGAAAATAACAGAAGCCAGAATTCATTAAATTAATTTATACTCACACTTTCTTTGCAACGGGATAATGTCTTACTACCTCTAAAGTGGATGTCAAGAAGGTAACTGTCCAGGATATTAGATTTACATCACAGAAGTTCAAAAGATCCCTTTTACATTCAGTAGTTTCAGTAACAGTTATGCTTTAAGTTGAAATTAATTCAGTATGAAATGCTGAATAAGGTAACACTGACAAATATTTATTTTAATTGGAGCCATTACTGAGTGTAAAACCAGTGTATTCCTGATTACAGCAGAGTTGTAATAACCCTTCATTTTTTATTGTGTTTATAAATTCCATTCTCTAATTTTGAACTTTCCTTCTATAATGAAAGTTCAAGTATGTTTTCCCAATCCTCCCTTTGAAGCCCATCACTGCTGCACCTTCAGCACAACTGCAAGGTCACAATGCAGCACTACATTTTCTTCTCTGCAGCATCTCAATTTAGCAGAAACCCATACCTGGTAGATCATCCATTTCTCTGTGCTACATTCCTCTGTATCACAGATAAAGTTGTTTTTAGTAATCCTGGCTGCACCTTAAACAGCTTTTGTAGAGGTTGTACCATTTAAGCAGGTCATCAAGCATCTGGTGATTTTCTGTTTCAAGACCTTGGTGGTTATCAGTGTTGCTTCATTTATCATAGCTGCCATATTCTTGGAAGCAGACTGTGCTATTAGCACAAAAATTACATTTCTTTGGGAGGTCCAAAACTCCATCTGATGCAATTCCCTCTTCTCCTCCTCTTCAAAGTTTTTAAGATTATCTTTATCTCAGACTTCTTTTGTGAAATAGTTTGACTACAGCATTTAATTCAAGATGGATGACATTGTGTAAAAACCAGACTGACTCAAATTAATGCTGCATTTGTCCAACCTCTTTCCTCTTACTGAAATAAAAGTTCTCAGACATCCTAAGACCTCAAGCATGCCTACATTTTTCAAAGACAGTCTGCTGATTTGTAAATATTTACACTAGTACCTAAAATTACGCAAGTAAATTTTCCCCTATCTGCTGCAGAGGATTCATTAGACACCACTATAATGTAACAATTTGAAAGCACAAACTGGTGACTTGATGTTTAGCTAGCACTAACCATCATCCATAAACCCCAGATTCATTCTGGATCTGTAGCACTGAAGCCAATAATGAGATGGGTAGATACTATTTACAGGGTTGTTCTCACTGTGCTTAGGAAACACCTTAATCATTTTGAAAGACAATGGAAGAGAAATGCACATTTCTTTGGTCCCCACTGCAGCTAGGGCACGTGCTCGGCCAAGCTCAAACTCTCCTTGCCATTACCTCCACTTAGACAGGCAACCTCTGGGGAACATCTGCAGTGAAGAATGGGGTCCCAGGGTACCCCCTATTGCAAAGACGCATACAGGGGCGCATAAACTCCATACCTACCTTGAATGTCATCATGTCTTAATATTTTTATTGCTCATGCAGAATAGACTTAAGTCAGCCCAAATAAGTGTCGGTAAACTCAGTAATATTTACATTATTCTAAATAGGGAAATCTTTGGATGATATATATGACATTAAAGCTTATTAATATAAAATATTCGTTTAAAGTAGTTATACCCTGCTTCTAACTGCAGAAAAAGTGCCAAGGCAACCCTGTGCCCAAGGCTCTGTAGTGCTCCAAAGCTTTGACCTTCCATTTGGAATATTTCAATTCTGTGACCTCTTAGCAGATATACAAACTCCAAAAGCATTTCTATTCAGAAAAACAAAAATATGCACACATACACTGTAAGACTTACACATACACTGTAAGCTCCTGCTCAGAGCTGAACCGACAGGTCTAGCCCTACCTTGAAAGTATTTTAGAAAACACTTAAATACCTTCCCAAATTTGGTCAGAGATGGTCTCAGAAGAATGGATGAATCACTGCACTGGGTTAGACCAAAGGTCCACCTCATCCAATATCCCTTCTCCTTCATTACGGTTCTGTGACTGCAAGGTTAGAGCATCTGAATGAGTCAGACATTATACTAAAAGTGCAATAGCAATGTGTCTGCATCAATTCAAGCATTGGCCATAAGCAAATGCTTCGGAAGGAATAAAAATATTCTCTCAGTATTAATCTATTTTGAGCTGAGGGACATCCTGAGCTGGATGTGGTTTCTATGTATTTGAGAATTCTTGGTTGTATCACTTTCTGGCACTTGCCCAGCATCTCCTTGAGTCCATGCAAACTTGTAGTGGCTTTAATGACTTTTGGCATGGAGCTTCACACATCTATTGCCTATTGTGAAGACCCTGGGAATGTCAAGTTCATGTCAAATTATATGGTAGTTTTGTGACTGAAGCAAACTTAGATATAGGTCATCATTTCTCTCTTTCAGATAAATGTTTTACAAGCTTAAGTTTTCCAGCCTTACAGTAGAGGTGAAAAAAATGCCATAAGTACAGTTTCCATACCGCTTCACAAACTGTACTAAATAATAAGATGATATCACCATAATTGTTTTCATTAATGACCTATAAAGATCATAAATGAAAGGGACATAAAACTTTACTTCTAGAATAAAATGCTATTTCTTTATTCTACTAAACAGTCCTTTAAAAATTCTCTTTCACAGGCCACCTCTCAAATCCTTCCTTATCCATTTTAATAAACATTACTTAATAGCTCTGCACTCTGCCAAAATCCATTATCTTAAGCTGTAAATTGATAGCTGGAAAAAAATGCTTTCACTTCCAAGCTGAATAAAAGCATTGTGCTTACTATATTTTGTTTTCTGCAAAACTGCAGCTGCACATTTCAAATTAAACTATACACGGTTTTACTCAAAACTGATCTACTTTCTCACACTTCATTGATCTTGTGGATCCAGTTGAGCAGTTTTATGATTGCCAAACAGTCTTTAAGGGAACATTTGAAGCTTTTCTGACCTGAGTCTAACAATTACGTATGCCACCCTTCTCTAACTCTTGGAAACAATCTGAAGTGACATTATCAAAAGAGGGTCAAAAGCAGTATTGACTGAAGAACAGATCTTCTTTTATTTAATTATCAAAGAATTATATCCTTGACTTTGATTTGCTCCAGAATTCAAACACTAATTAGGAGGGGTGTCAATAAATTTTTGGTATCAAACTGCAGAGAGAAGGAGAAGCTGAAGACTGCTCCTTCCCACTTATGCCAGACTGACTTAAAGGTCAACTTCCTCAGTTAGGTATATAAAGGTATGTAAATCACAGAATCGTTTGGGTTGGAAGGGACCTCTGGAGATCATTGGGTACAACCCCTCTGCCAACGCAGGGCCACCTAAAGCAGGTTACACAGGAACACATCCAGGCAGGTTTTGAATGTTGCCAGAGAAAGAGACTCCTGGGCAGCTTGTTCCAGGGCTCTGCCACCCTTAACATAAAGAAGTTCTTCCTCACGTTGAGGCAAAACTTCTTGTGTCTTTGTTTATGGCCACTGCTCCTCGTCCTGTCACTGGGCACCAATGGAAAAAAGTCTGGCACCATCCTCCTGGCACTCACCTTTGAGATACTTGTATGTATTAATGAGATCCCCTCTCAGTCTTTTCTAAACAGGCCCAGCTCCCACAGTCTCTCCTCATAAAAGATGCTCCAGTCTCATGAGTATCTACCTAGAATCACAGCATCAAATACTGAGTGCTGGGCTCTGTTGTATGCCTCCACAAAAGACTTAAGAAATGGCCCCAGCACACTGAACATGGACTACAGCAGAACTGTTCTCATTGCCACGGCCATGTGACAACAGAGAAACAGCTGGGACCAAACCCCTTCAAAATTTCCAAAGCAGGGTACCAAAATTGAAAAGGTTCCCAGGAGAAGTTAACAAGTTACACTGAATTTGACAAGCTGCTTTCTCAAACATTAACCCACTAACCTGCTGCATCTGGTTTAGATCCAAAGATGCAGACAGCTAAGTTCAAATCTGCAGAGCAATTTTCTCCGCTGACTGAAGTGCATGGGGTTATCTATTATTCACATGCTGTCTTACTGCTCCTGCAACAGCTAGCTAGGAATTAAGGAAAAAAGGAAAAAAGGAAAAAACAAACAAAAAACCCCCACCCCGCCCCAAAAAAAGAGCTAAGCATCTCACCCAGCCAAGTGCTCAATCCAGAAAAAAAAAGTTTTATTACTTAAAATAGCTTAATTGCTTTAGCATATTTTCTCAACTATAATTTTACCACTTACATAAACTCTGAATGCCATATTCTTTAATATGCTTGGCTTTCTCTTCCCCAGTTTTTTTTAAGTAGAAGAACTAAGTTTGATGAAGCAGCAAACACTCTAAAACACTTTTTCCAAGCCTGTGGCATGCTGTGTAAGTGCATCATTATCCTGAAATGGCATTAGAGACACTAGAAAGTCAGCCTTAACTTGTAATTGCAGGACTTTGAAATACAGAAAAGCACAGGCAGAATGAACATGTTATTCCTAATACACAGCGTGAACAATTTGGGTACTCCCCAATGTACTTAGAAGCATTCTTAGCAGACACAGAAGCATAATTCTTAGCTACAAACTGTGTGCCCCCCTGCCAGTTACGAGCTGTAGTAAGTATGAAAACTATGGTCATCCAAGCTGCAAACCTCTAAGCGGGGAGGGAAGGGAAACAGCTTCGTGTGCCTGCCTTCAAATTTAAAACTCAATCACAGATTTACCATGGATTGTCATTCCCCTTAATTCTCATTATGAAATCTACAGAATTGATGTATGCTATATATACCAACAGACTTTCTGAAATAATTTATTCCAGATCCTTATCAATCCTTCTATGCAGTCCCAAGTTACCCATTTCTATTTCTCCATTCTACAATCACTCCTGATTTTTAATCTTGTACAAAGTAAAGGATATATGTATCTGTTTTACTAGATCATCCTCCCACATCTTCACACATAAAATATTTACCTTTGTTACTGCTTTTCCCCTCTTTTCCAGACAATACCTTCCTTGTGCAGCATGGTGACCAATACTACATACAGTATTCCAGATGGAGCCTAACACTCCTGTAATGCTATCGCCTCTGATTTTGTATTTTATCCCTCTGATACAACCTAGTAACTTACTTTCTTGCAGCTGTGCACAAGCCTCATGGTTTCAATGATTTTTCCACAATAACCTTCAAATCCTTTTCCTCATCAGTGTGCTGAATGATTGTTCCATTGCAGCATACACTGTGTTTCCTTCAGTTTCTTGCTCCCAGACTAATTATTTTACATTTTTCCACAGTGAATTGTGTTTGCCAGCTGTTGGCCCAGTCACCTAAACAGTTCTAAATCCTTTTATATCTGATTGTACCATTCCTAATTCATTGCTCTGAATTTTACTACAAAAAAGGTGGTGTGGAGGATAAATCGCTGCACACAAATATACATTACTTATATGGGGGCCATATGCATGTGATCAGTATAACTTATCATATGGTTTTGCAATCTATCAGGCAGCTTTGCCCACCTCACTTGCATTTTTCCAATAATACATATCTGCTGGGACTACTTTGAACACTTCACACTTCTGAGCAGCTTCATATAGCTGCCATGAAAAAAAGCCCCCCCCTGCCCCCCTTATCCCAGATGTAATCCTGCCACTTCAAACCACACTTACCTGAAGTTCAGTACTCAGTCTTGAACAGTCAGCAATATTCTGGTCTGAGATCTGTGACAGGTTCATGGCTTTTTTTGTGTGAACCCTTAGAGGCCAGGTGGGATCTAAGTTCACCAAACACCCACAAACTCCACCTACTTAAGCATACAGCAAACAGCTGTTTCCAGATTCTAATTGCAAGAAAACTATCAGAATTTAAAATAACAACACTATCTGTTATAAGGCAATTTTTTTTTGGTATTTAAAAGGCTTTAATTTTCCTTCCTAATTATAGTATTGACGTAATATTACATCTCACCACAGCAACTCAGGACAATGACCATCTCAGTGTGTATATGTGAGGAGGGCAGATAAATCATAAAAACTGCTAGCACTTGTACAGCCTGGTTTTTCTGTACATTTGTTCCTCCTCTAAAGAAAGTTCTAAATTGTCACTTCCTCATGAATTTTAGAACTCTGGGATTTTGATGTAGAACTCTGCACTGCATCGGTGCAGCAAATACTTCCATTTCAAAACTCGCGCAGTTACACTCATAGTTTAAATGATGCTCTACCACCTTTTACTTCAATAAGCAAGTCTACTGAACTCACGTAGTAGCTGACAGCCTCCAGCACCACATATGATCTTCCTTTTCTTCTAGCATGAAAGAACAAAGTTGAAGCACCTGCTAATTTTCAGGCTATCAAGTCAGAGACTGTTTTACCAGTGCTACAGCACCTGTTACTCTCCATGCTATCACATCTGAGAAAGCTTTACCAGAACTTGCAGGTTTCCCTGATTTCTTCCATCCAATCCCCATTCCCTGCCACTAATTCCTCTTTCAAAAACCAGTATTCCTGTTGTAGTTTTACACTTGAGACTATCAAAAACATGTTCTACAGAAACATAAATGACAGCACTGCCATTCCTATAGCATTACAAGAAGTGATTTTAAAAGAACAAATACTAGTTAAATCTAAAAACTGATATAAATATGTACTGATTTACTGACAAAAAGAGTGTGGGATATGAATTAGCTTTGAAGACTGCATGCAGTGGAGCATGCTGCAGAACAATAATCTTCAACTCCCAAATTAAATGTGCTCTGCTTTCTGCTTTTTTTACTTACAGGCATTTGAAATAGCAGTCTGTGTTTAAACAGACTGGAAAAAAAATTACTTTAAGGTTTTTACTTTAATTATTACCCTTGGCTTCTGCCAGAAATCCATTAAGGCTACAGAATCTGAGCCATCTGACTACAGGTTTGTCATTTGCGTCATATCTGATGAAGCCATTTTCTCCTGCCCTTTTCTTATTTTTTTTATTTCATTTCAAGCCGGTTTTGGTTAGGTTGGGGCAGGGGTTTAAGTACAGGCTCATTAGATACCAATAAGTTATCTCCAAACAGAAGTTCAATCCCCCCCCTTTGAAATACAGGTCACCAATGAACAGAGAAGTTGACTGGTTAACTTCTTTCCATTCCCTCTCAGTTTGCAAACTGCAAAGACCACTTCCTCTGGCAAAGGCTCTGAAGCATTACGTTAGCCACTTTTAAAATTACTTCTCATGTTAAAAAAAATAAAAAAAAAAAAAGTTAAAGGATTCCCCAAAAGGAGTGCAAAGCCATACGGAGGCAGAAGCCTCTCCAGGGATAGATGGATAGATATGAATTCATTTTCTCAGGAAATGAAGTATAAGGAAAGGAGCTGGGATCAGTTATTTCTGGCCACTGCATCAAACAAGGAAAAATTAGTTACTTTGAGATAATATTAATTTTTTTTTCCTTGAATCTCAAACAGTAGGTGCACGTGGGATGATGGACAGGTCATTATCCAGAAAGCCACTCATGGATCACTTTCTAGATGCTTGTGACAAATTCTCAGATCCAGCCTAAAAAGTGAGAACTTGGTTACCTTAGACTGCTCCTAGATTTGGTAAAGAAAGATGAGTGTCTCTCTCCTTGTAGTATCTGGACACCTAAAATTTGATTTATCTCTGATAAAACTGTGTCTGACTTAACTCTTCCCTAACCAGGTGTAGTAAATCAGATAGAGTGTGAAAGTTGGCAATAATATGCAGCCTACAGCTCACATGAGTAACTCCAACTGCCTGAGAAAGGCAGGAAAAAATCGTGAAGGAAAATAAAACCCCCAAGTACTACCACTTACTTTCCACAACTCATGAAAAAGACTAGACAACAGTCATTACCCAGGTCACAGCAATCACAGCAGTTGTAGCTCTGCAGGCAGGGAAGTAAATGGGAATAGCTATTCCAAACTGCTCCCACATTAAAACTAGTTTTGTTTTTCTTTATGGAAGGATTAATTGAGGATGCACGCTAGAAGCAAGCATAGATCAGTTTGGTCAAAAACTAAAGGAATTGTATCAGGAATTAATGCTGCCCTTTATTCTCTAACCCCAAAGTTATAAAACCCATCAGAATACCCTGGCTTAATTTTTACACTCATTGTCCAGAGAAAAAAAAACCCCAAAGTTCTGATTTTTCTGAAATTTTGTTGTGTTGTTTTGATTGTTTTTTGTTTGTTTGTGTTTTTTTTACTATTATATTTAAGATCATAGACATGCTGTATTTTCTAAAAGTCTAAAATAAATACATGAAAAATTATAAGCTGACCACTATGATTATTTTGCTTTAAAATGAAACAGTAGGTAATTTGCTCCTTTGTAATTCAGATGTTTGATAATAAATATACCCTATGGCTCTGACTAAAAAGCTGCCTTCCTTATTTTACACTCTTCATCTGGAACTCAGAGTAAATGAAACTCTGTCATGGCCATCAGCTGCAACTCCAAGCAATGTGCTAGACAACTATATGTTTCATTTTTGACTGCATAGCTGGAAGTGTGAACATGACCCGTTGCATCACAATAAAAACACATCTCAGCAGAATATGCAGATGATGATTGTCCTTCCAAACCTGAAGGTGTCAGTGGACTGACACAGTTACAGCCTGCCACTGCACACCAAATCACTGCACCCTGGTGAGTACGACCACCCCAGGAACCTGGGCAATGAAAAGAAACCCATGGGCAGGCATGCGGTACCATAGCTCACTGTCCAACAGGAATTTTCACCATGTTACGCGGTAGTAGAAACCATGGAAAACCACACATGCTAGGTTGCAGTTGCGTTCTTACACCCTGAGTTTGTAACTATGAACAAAGGAGATGTACAGATTTCAAGCTTTGCATATGACTGACTTAAGGGATTTTTCAGGTCCAGCTATTGAGCAAGTACACTCCAATAGTATCTGGAAATGCAGGGACAGCATTTTGGTGTTACACGTATGTAACTATCAAAAGAGATGCACTTACAGCTCACCTGCTAAGGAATCAACTGCTTTAAATAGGATATTGTTTAACACAACAACCTGGCTTTGAAACACTTTAGCAGGACACTCGCTTCTACAACACCTCTAAAAGTATATCCAACTTCATCGAATCATACTTACTACAGAAGTGTGCTTTCATTGGAGAACGTGTATTAGGATACACCATAATGATTATTATGAATAGCATATTTTGCTTGTTTTTTATCTCATCTTTGATAATGACAATACTTTTTCAGATTTTAAAATCTGACAGGCTGTGCATAGTGCAGAAAGCATGCTTTCTTCCAGAGTCCCAGGGGACAAAGCTCAAAGACTGACATGCTCACTGTATTTAAATTTCTCTCTGTAGCCAATGTTCTATAATGGGTGCAAAACTGAAGAGGAGCACCTTCTTTGTTTAGCATAATATGTCACAAACAAATCTTCTGTCTTAAAAGCAGAAAAAACTACAAAGAACCAAAAGAGCACAGTTAGGTAAGACTGGGGTGTGTGTAACCTCCAGTTCCCCTTCTAAAGTGAAAAGAAAAAGAAGAAAAATTTCACAGGGGAAAGAAACAGAAAATTTAGGAACATACAGGATTGGAAAAGACCTTTAAGATCATGAAGTCTAGACCTTCACTTATCTTTTTAATGAACTACTAGGTGCATGTGAAGAAAAGGTAAAAATGGACAACACAGGGTTAGTTTACATGTGTTCAAAGCACAATTATCTTCTATGATTAAGTCCAAGGCTCCCGGGGACTTTATAACAAAAAATGATCTGAGTCATTACAGAACTTGCACTCTCTCTAGTCGCTTTGATCAGTAACCACATAGTTATCGCCCACACTTACATTTTCAGCATTCAGCACTTCATTTAAATGACTAGAGGAGACCAGCCATTCCTGCAGATTTATACTTTCAGAACAATCTAGAAAAAATGAAAGATAAGGAGAGCATTGCTTATGTTTGTATTTGGTGACTTTTTTCACAGTCATAGGAGACAGAAATGAATGCTATAGAGTTTCTGCATTATCTGTGGAAAAGGTGCTTTGATTCCTCAGCTGAAAAGATAGAGATGGTGTTATATCACTTCCTTCTCAAAAAATTGCTACTTAAAATGTAATAAACAGTTGAACACATTAACAGGCCATGACATTAGATTTCAAACTTAATTTCAAATAACTTTATCTGGAGGAGTAAAAAATCCTTTACAATATCCAATGGTACTGGTAGTTGAAAATAAATCTCAGATAACCCTCACAACATATGATGGAAGAAGTGACTAGGGTAAAGGAAACATTCTGAGGAGAAAAAAAACCACCAAAACAGATCAGCTACCAGCAGTGGTATCAAGGGCCATTTTCAGAAAGAGGTGTACTCCAATAAACCTCTCTTTAAATCCACATATAACTTATGGCAATACTAGGGATACGAAGAATTAGCTGGCATCAAGGTAGAATGTTTAAAAATTGAATTAACTAACACAGTACCGAAGGGCTCAATTTGACAGATGTACAGCACAAGCAGTAGCAAGACCATTTGAAGTGTGCACCCAAAACTTTTTTCACACTGGCAGCTACCACCCATCAACAAATTGCGGTAAGCACAGGTGCGTGAGTTTGTAGTTCTGAATTTGAAGGATAAGATGCTGATGAGATGGAGTAACAACTCCATGGATGCCCATAGAGCAGTACAAAACCCAAAACTTATCCTAAGGCCACTAGTACCTGAGTTTCCATTGGTAAGAATTTTGGAAACCCTTCTTGTAGTGGAATGTAATTTATAAGACTGGCAGGTCATTACTTGAGCATTTTAATGCAGCAAAAAGGAAAGCAAACATTTCTCATGCATTGGAATAAATGAAAACTCACTCTGTGATGCAAAAGCAGCAGACCATTTGTAACAGATACAACCCCGAGCATGAGTGCTGAGAATGTGAAAATCAATTTTGCTGAGTTTTGCATACAGTACACTGACAGCGGACATAAAATGTGTCAGACAGCTATTTCAGCTCTTGTACATGGGAGAGATTCTGCTACATCATCAGTCATACATTATGTTTCTCTAACAATGGTTTCTTCATAAAATTGTTGTGCAGCCAAAGCAGAAAACTATACATTTTATTTTAGCAAAGAGTTAAGTCTTCAATTACAAAACTGGCAACGCAGTTATAATGCACCAAGTCTGAAATAAGAAAGCACAATCTGGAAATGAATTTGAAGCTAATCCCTTCTCTAAACATTTGTTAGCTAGAACTGAGATCCTGCCTCAAAAGGTGGTCCACTCTGGAAAGACAAGATCAAAGTCACTTTTGTCCCAATTACACCTGATAGCTATCATGACTCTATAGTGTGTGTGAGCAAGACTTCAAAGCAGTCCTAAGGACTCTTACTCTTTTTTCCCTAATAAATTTAACAAAACTCATTCTGTTAACAGTTTTGATTACATCTGGATTTCTCAGAGAATACAAATGAAACAGTTTCATGTTACACATTATCTGCACAATCCTTTACAATGCCCAGACCCTGCACTATGCTGATTTTTTTTCCCTATCCATCTTCCTGCTTAGGAAACAAAGGGACCTATCCTGTCATCTGACTTCTCCAAGCAGGGTTACTCTGTGGTCTTTTCTAAAGCTTTATCTCACTTTTACTATTACAGTACACAGTATTTGTGTAATATTTTTAAATCTCAGAATTCAACAGCTGTGTTTTTAAACAGAGCATATATTGCTGAAGTGCAAGATGAAATGCAAAGAACTGAATCTTAAATTACGTTTTTTTTTAATAAGAAAGGAAGATAAGAGCCAACTTCAACATCATAACCTTACAGAAAGGTATCCACTATGTTCAAACTAAAACAGGTATTTCATTTATATGCAGACTTTAAGTAGCTAGAAATAGAAGAAAATCTCAGGGTATAAA